TTTCTTGAAGGCTACTAGGAGAATTAGACAGGATCTCTCTCCTCTTAGCATTTTTCTATTTCTTCAATGGTAGCCCCAAAGGTTTTTTGAAAGATACTACAGGGATCCACTATCTCCTTTTCTATTCACCTTGGTACCAGAAGGATTCACTATGATGCTTAGGAAAGTGGAATGGAAAGGGAGATTTTTGGATTTTTAGGTCTCCTTCCATCACGCTATTATATGTCACATACAGTATATGCTGATGACATTGATTTTTTGTGAAAAAAATCAAAGACAAGTAAAGAACTTCAGTATATTTCTTATATGATGTGAGATGGCTCTTGGTTTTAAAGTTAATTTTCAAAAAACAGATGGTAGGGGTTGCCTGTGATGGGGATCTTCTGGAAATATTGGCCCATATTTTAGGCTGCAAGATAAAACAATTCTCTTTGAAGATCTCGAGCTCTCAATCTTATATGCAAGACTAAGTTACACAGGTTGGGATCCGGTGATTAAAAGATTTTCAGATCAAATATGATTTGTGGAAATCGAAATTTATGTATTTAGGAGGTCGAATGACACTTGTAAAATCATCATTGGCCAATTCATCTATCTACTTAATGTCATTGTTGTAGATGCCTAGCTCGTTGATAAAGCTTATTGAGCTCAGAAATTTCATAGCACTTTATGAGAAACTTATATGGTTTTCTTTGATGATCAAATAAAACATCACCAGGTTAGTTGGGACAAAATTTGCATTCCAAAAAAGAAGGATGGCAGATTGGGTATGAGACCATAGCTCTCCTTTCCAGATAGTAGTGGAAAATTATCCAAAGACCTAGTCAGCTATGGAAAATATAGCCTTAATGAGATCTCTAATATGAATAAGAGAGGTAAAGGAGGTGTGCATATATCTCACATATGGAAAGTAATCTACAACTGCAGATCGTGGTTGTTGGTAAAACTTGATGACTGGTTGTTAATGGAGATGATAACTTCTTTTAGTTTAATTAATGGGTAGATGATAGAACTTTTATGGTTTTCAACTATGAGTTATTTACTAGGGTCTTCTCGCCTGCCGCTAAGATTTCTTATTTGGTTAGTCAGTCACGTTTAGAAAGGTGTGGAGAATTTCTTGCAATTACAATAGGCTAAAAAATACTGTAATTACTAAATTGTGATGTCTTTTAACGAATATGGAATTTGTATTTTTTTTTTCAAATGGCATCGATGAGATTATGTGGTGTTAAGATATGGATATCTCGTGTTAGTATTGATTAATATATTATTATTGGTGCAGTATATCTCTTGATAAGATTAGGATATGTATCATACTTATACAAATCCGTATGGATGTGTATATGTATGGATATATATCTCTTTATAAAATTAGGAAGTGTCTATTCAGTATTTATCTTTAACTGTTACTGGCTGTATGCCGTATATCTCTTGATAAGATTAGGATATGTATCATACTTATACAAATCTGTATGGATGTGTATATGTATGGATACATATCTCTTTATAAAATTAGGAAGCGCCTATCCAATATTTATCTTTAACTATTACTGGCTGTATATTATACGGAGTTTTGTATATTTTTGATTAATCAATAAAGAGTATGGAGTTCCCTACAGTAGATATACACGGTTAGGAGGTTGAGTCTTCATCACCTGATATGGTAGGATATATCGTAATAGTCTTCATCGGCCATATCTTTATCGGCTGATGTGGTAGGATATATCGTAATATGTGGAGAAGAGAAAGTGATGGGATGCTTACTATAAAATCTGCCTACCAACCATAGTTCGACGATCGCACTTGGTGGAGCTGTGAGGTGTTGAATAATGTATGGAAGTGGCATACATTATATTAAGAATTCTCCAAAATAAGAAATTTGGTTTGTAATGTATTTTTAATATACTTTATATTATAGTAAAGATTAAAAAAAATAAAAATTCATTAATACTCACTTCAATTAAAAAATCGATTCGTTAAAATCTATTTTTTTCATTAATTTTCAACGTCATTTGAATGTGTTATTTTAATTATTCTTTATATGCTTTTCATATTTTAGCATATATTTTTTTAAATCTTTTTTTATTTTTTTAACACTTTCTTTACCGTTCGGGATTTGCTCGATTAGAACGGTTCAATCGGCTGATTTACCGGTTAGGCCAGTTAAACCGCTTCCCCATGTCCGGTTAACCGCTTCAGTTCGTCTTTGCAAAGACTAGTACAGATAGAAACAAAGATAATATATACTACAGTCTCTTTGGAGTTGGTACTCAATCACTAGAGAAGGTAAAGGAGTCTCACGTATTGATGTCTTCTTAAATATGAAGAATCTTGTTGATAGCTTCCTGCTGAAAGTACGGCCTCATGGTATTTGAAAACATTTATATGATAAGTTCTTTTAAATTGAATTTTGATGGATGTTCATTCAAGAACCGAGAACTAATTAGTGTGGGAGAATTTTTGAGAGATTCTAAACGGAATATCATCTTTTCTTATGTTGGTTCTTGGATTACAACAACAAATCTGCTTGAACTTTGCTCTCTTTTGCACAGTTTGTTGATCATTTAGAATAAAGGAATTGTTGGTGCAATTTTGGTGGAATAAGACTCCCATAGTGCTATCAAGTGGTGATCTTAGGGAGCACAAGGTACCTTGGGCACTTCAATCTACCTGGTTGAAGATTTTAGACATTTGTGTTGTTTTGAATGTTTCCTTTACTTATGTGTACGGTGAGGCAAATGAGATGGCTGACCGTCTTGCCAAACATGGGACCTCGTTGTCTTTGTTAAGTTGATTGTCATCTTCTTACTGTTGTTCTTTGATTTTTTATAATAAAATTATTGACTTCGTCAAAAAAATTTATGGGTGTGATATTTCATCCACCACTAGCGCTTGTTATGTTCTCCTTGCACCATAATCCATGCACCACTAGTATAATTGGTACATTATCAGTGGACTTAGATAGTTCACATTACGATTATGATGAAGAAGCATAATATGATGAACATGATGGGCTATCACCATCCAATATTAATGAGTTGGGGGCATAGATGCATTAATAGTAAGGATTGTACCCTATCATATCATTTATCTTTGTTACGAGAATGTCACAATTGCGATTAGTCATTAGATGTCAAATTGAACGGCTTACAGTTTGCTACAAAGTTTGACAAAAAAATTTTGAACTTTAAGTATAGTTAATGACACACTTACAACCACCTGATTTGAAATATGACAGACTAAAGTGATTGTGAGTATTAAAAGTGAATGGTCTCTTTTTGTACTTATTCTTATTAATATATTTTGTTAAGACCCGCACCTGCACCACCAGTTTCTTTAATTATCAATAAGACGTTGTTAACCTCATATGTCATGGTTTTTTTTTGAACTGGCCGCATAATGGTCACGTTACTGTACACATATGCATCACTCAATGCGATCCTTTAAAGGGTAACATTTTATATAAGGGATTGTATATAATTATCCTATCTATTTTTGGAATAGGGAGGTCACAATTACTTATAACTATCCGATGTGAAATCTGATAGATTGGGTGTAACATAAAGTTCGAGCAAAAAATTTTTGAACCTTGAGTTTGGTCAATAAATGAATGCAGCCACCCAATTTCACATCCAATAGTCAAGATTTATTGTGACCACCTTGTACCAAAGGTAAATGGTCTCATTATATATTTTCCCTTTAATAAAGTGGCACGACAGATACAAAATTTGCTCTCCTATGATATTTTCAACATAGGACAAATGGAATTTTCACCTTTCTTTATTTTCTATCGAGTTTAAAAAGTTATATTTTCTATTTAATTCTAATTTCTTTTTAAAAATATCTATTTATTTTTGTATTTTTGAAAATAATGATATTAAAATATTCAAAGATAAATAGAGAATTTATTTTGAATTTTTAAAAATAAATTCGAAACTTATTTTTGAATTTTTTTTTTGGCATCATTATTTTTCGAAATAAATTCTATTTTTATTTATAAAATAAATTCTATTTTTTAAAAAAATCTTTATTAATTTTTAAATTTTTAAAAATAATGATGCCAAAATATTAAAAAATGAATAAATAAATAATTTATTTCACATTGACTTTAACAATTAGATATAAAGTTTCAATTTATTTTTTAATATTTTGGGATCATTATTTTTAAAAATAAATTAAATATTTTGGCATCATTATTTTTAGAATAAATTCTTCATTCATTTTTTATTTTTTAAATAAAATATGAAAAATGTAAAAATTAATAGAGAATTAATTTTTGAAATTATTTTAAAAGTTAAAAAAAAAAAATTGCATCATTGTTTTCAAAATTTTCAAAAATAAATAGATTATTTAAAAATAAAAATAAATAATAAATAATAAATAAAATTTGTTAAATTCAAAGAAAATAAAAAAATTGTGAATTTCCAATATGTCCTATGTTGGAAATGTCCAACAGGGGGTGAGTTTCCCGTCTTATGTTGGAAATGGGACATAGGGGCAAAACTGGTTTAAAAAAGGGCTAGCGGTGGCTGGTCTCTGTGTAAATTTGGGCAAAATATAGATCAAACTTCAATATTGAGGGAGAAATCCGGCTGTACTTAATTTTGCCAAAAAAAACCTGAAACATATGCATGAAAGAGAGTATAGGTGGAAATAAGGGAGAGTATACTTCTTTAATATGTTAGATGAAGTAATTATATTATTCTAGGTCATCTCTCGAGTCCTGAGTAGGTTGTTGTAGTAAGGGGATTGGAAGGAAAAATTGCAAAGAATTAATGTAATTTCATTAGATCAAAACAAATAACAACTAATATCAGATAAAATGTTTCAAAAAAAAAAATATAATAAAAATTTCAATTGAAATAGATCAAATGGAAAAATGTAAGTGGGTGGTGGCTATATTTCAGGATAAACATGTGATTGTTGCTGAAAATAAGCAAACAAGGAAAGTTATATTTTATACTGAGATAGAAAAAGAAAAGTTGTAATAGAAGATATGCCTATTCCAGGCTATCACCTTCTGATGTTGTAGATTTATCCTCATCCTCCTTAATGTTGTTGATCATGGCTGAAACTTGAGCCATTTGGGGCCTGCAGTCCGGTGAAATACTAACACATTGCACAGCAACTTGTAGCAATGCCACCATTCTTTGTTCACTCGCACCCTCATCCATTAAGGCCTTGTCGAAAACCTCTGCCGTCCATTCTTCACTAACCACTGAGTGAACCCACTTGGCCAAATCAAAACCATTGTTTTGCACAAGCTTCCCCGTAAGAACCTCTAGAAGAAGGACCCCAAAACTGTACACATCTGCCTCGAGAGTGAATTTAGAGAGGCCTTTTCCAGATTCTGGCGCAATATAGCCGGAACTGTGTCCACTTGTTTCTTGATTGTCAGTATCTATGAAATTGACACCATATTCAGTTATGCATGGATCCATGTTCTGGTTGAATAATATGTTGGAGGATTTGAGATTTCCATGGGCAACTCTCTCTTCGGAGAGCTTGTCGTGCATGTATGCCAGACCCTGAGCAATGCTAGCCGCGACGGTGAGGCGAGGGGTCCATCCAAAAATTCTTCCTTGCTGTCTACCTGGAATTTGAGGAAATAGGGTATATGAAATCTCCTCTCTGCAAGTTTAACGAAATTTACAAAGAAATATGAAGGAACTAAAGTCTGAATTTCAAAAATAATAAAAGGGCTACAAGCAAATCATGAGTTTTGTATTATATTATATCGGTTTTGTTCATTTGAAATTCAAAATCAGCATGGTAAGAAAACCATCAAAATCAGCATGGTAAGACCATGGATTTCTAACTATTTTGATTTCATTCAATTTGTGCAAGCCTTAAGACATATTCCTTTCAGTAGTTCAAGAGAAATATAGAAGAATTCAGCTGGAATTCGGCGACCCTAGTGAAATCAACGTGAATTTTGAACCATTGATAACCAAAAATCCAATTTGGACATACAAAAATTGAGCCCAAATCCTAATTTCATGTTCCATGAAATTCAAAGTAAAAAAAATGAAAAATGAGGAAGAAAAACTGAAATTGCACCTACCATGGAGGATGTCAAAGAGGCTACCATTCTGTAGAAACTCATAAACCACAAGCTTCTCTTGCTTAGAGCAATAAAAGGCTGAGGCATTCAAAACATTGGGATGCTTCACTTTATCTATCCTTGCCATCCTCCTCTTAAACTCCTCACAAGAGAGAGCAGAATCCTTGATCCTCTTCACTGCCAAATAGGAACCATCCCCCATCGTCACCTTATAAAGGCTCCCATGTCTACCCTTGCCAAGCAATTCAGCTGGAGCCCTGAGCAAATCCTCAAAGCGCAAGGTCTGCAACTTTTGGGCCTCGAGCACAAACAATGAAGAAGAAAGAGTAGCCACATTCTCGTTCGACAGGGAGGAGATCGAGTATTCAGATCGATTCGCAGGAGTTTTACTGCTGGTTTTCGATTTACTTTCACTCGTTATTGCCCCTTTCTTCCCTTCTATATCTTCAATCTCACCATTGGCAGTCTTCTTCCTGCCTCGCAATATCCAGAAAACAATAAAGAAGGCAATAAAAATTCCTAGAATGAGGTAGCCAGAGAACATCACCAGCTTCTCGGCCTCAGAAGAGGATTTGCTATTTGTCTTTTTTTTCGGAGAAGGGCTGTCACAGGCTTTCGGGAGTGGCTTCCCACACAAATTAGGGTTTCCAGCAAAACTACTCGCATCTAAGACATCAGCACTTTCCGGTATCGCTCCGGTAAAATTATTGTTTGAAACATTAAATTCCCCAAAATTTGAGAAATGGAATTCGGGCAACTCTCCAGTTAGCTGGTTGTTTTCTGCCAGGAATGAAGCTAATCCTGAAATCTTAGAAAAATCCGGTAGGTTTCCAGTGAGGTCATTGTTAGATAAATACAGCTTCTTCATGTTATTCATTTCGGCTAGGGAGGCCGGAAGGGCCCCAGAAAATAAATTCTGGTTAAGGTATAAGTGTGTCATCTTGGTGCAATTAGAGATTTCTGCAGGAATTGCACTACTAATGCTATTATTTTGTACACTTAGGACTTTGAGGGACTGTGCCTTACAGAGTGAAGCGGCATCAAGTTTTCCAGATAAATTCATGCCTTCGAGGAGAACACTCTTGATAGTAAGTGTACCAGGGTAGCAAGTGATGCCTTGCCAACCGCCGGCGCAGGGGTCGGAGGAGGCAGACCAGTTGAGGGGTGGGGTGGAGTTGGGTCCTGATAGGTTGGTGAGAAAGGTTATGAGTGCAACCTTCACATCTTCCTCTTCTTGTGTGCTCCTCTGAATGAGGAGCATAATGATGATCAGTATGGACCACCAAAAGGTGGAGCTTCTTCTAGCTTTCATGGCTTGATCTGAAGATCACCAAAACACAGTTATGGGGCTCTAAATCCACTTAGTATTTGAAACCTATGCCTTTTGGTGACTGCAACTCAAAAAACTGTTGGTTTTTGGTTGTGGGGCAAGGTATTATGAATGGGTGGTTGTTGCCAGTCGTGTCAAATCATACGTGGGAAGCCGGACCACACCCATTCCTTATGAACCATTTGGTTTGTTATATGGTCCACATGATGTGCCTTTTCTTGTAATGGACCGTTTGGATGCCTTAGTAAATGCCTTAGGATAATCCCAACCTTCCATTTATTACTCACTGATATGATTTTACACCATGATCAAGGCTATGTGAATTTTTTTTGTGTAAGTAAGGCTATGTTGAAAAAATTTGGAAACAAAAGGAAGAGTACAAATTTTGGGATGGTTTTTATGTGTGTATTGGTGCCAATTGGCTCGGTTTTATCCAAGAAGGTTTCTAGTTTTTTAAATGAGAATTTTGTAGCTTTCTAACTTGTTCGATTGAAAAGGACGTTGCCGTCCGTGGGGGTCCTCAAGGAAACAAAGAGACTTAGCAATGAAAGAAAAAAAAACTTAAATTTGATGCTTTAACAAAATGAATATGCCTATATACCTTTCTATAGACCACCAAATAATTCCTTTTCACTTTTTGTTTGGAATATATTCATTAAATAGTTAAACCATCTTACAAAATTAAGCTATCAAGTCATCATATTTGACATTGAGAGTGTTGTCATTTAAGGTTGGAAAAAAATTATATAAGGTGTGAACATTATAATGTAGAAGTATGGTGTACCTCAAAAATCCACCTGAAAAGTTTTATTTCAATTTCCAAAAGCCCTACAATTTATCATCTCTATGTTGAGATATATACATATGGAAAAAAAAAATTCAAGTCTTAGAAATAGTGCATCTTGCAACACATTATTTAGACCATCTATTTTTAAAATTTTGAAGTATTTTATATATATGCTCAATATATATTATTTTTGAAGCTTTAAATTATGATATATCATAATTAAGAGTGTTAACATATATTTTTAGTCCATCCGGCACCAAAACTGGAACTTCGTGCAAGATATAGAGGTGCGACTAACTTTGACTTTTTAAGATTAGCCCAAACCTTATTTCTTTATCTTTTTGTTTTGTTTTGTTTTTCTTTTAATTTTTTTTAGTTTGGGCAACCTAGTCCTGATAGAGCCAGGGCCAGGTCAGTCCTATGCCAAAGCCTCTTTGGCCCAATCTAGCCTAGCGGGGCCACCAGGCCAGGCTTAGGCTGGCCTTCAGGGAATAGGGCTAGGGCTAAGGCTCAAGGCCAGGCCCGTCCCCTTGTCAGCCTTAATTTTATGGAGAGAGGAGGCTCCCCAATGAAATGAAATAATTTGACCATTCTAATTATTTTGTAAAATAGTATAACCATTTAACGGTTCCCTTTAGTTGGGGGTGTTGGACTGCAACCTTTGACGTTAGTTATATTATGGCTGTAATGCCACAAAAGATTGTTCAACAGCCGGAACACCACCAATTGCATCGATTTATTGGTTCATTAAGAATAAATAACTTAAGATGCGAATATAAATAGCTTATTGCGATCAATGTAGAATGAAATTATTAACAACTACAATAACACAAAAATTTGGCTGTCTTCTTCGGTTGTGGTGAGGGTCTAGTGCGCAGCAAAGTGGTCTTGATGGCATACCTAATAATAAAATTCAAGGATTAGTGAATTTTGAAAAAGTTAGGGTTAATCGATATTTTATAGTGTCATAGATGCGGTAGTTGATTTCTGTAAAGCATTAAAAATAGGGAAAAGGATGCTCACCCCCTTTGCATACTTTCATCCCATTTGTACAACTTGTAGTCCATAGAAAACCCATGGATCTCTTCAAACTTTTAATAATAGAACTACGAAACCCTTTCCTCACATTTTCATTATCTAAATTAATATTTTAACCCTAATTTTTTTGTTTTATTACCACATTTTATCTATGGGAAAAGTTTATATAAAGCCAAGGCTATAAACAATCAAATTTGAGCCTACCTCAAAAAATTCACTAGAAGAGGTTATTTTGATGCTCATCATCTCGACATCAAGATACATGGACATGAGAAAAAAAAATGGATTTTAAGTTTTGGAAATAGTGAATTTTTTAACATATTTTTTGATCCTCAATTTTCAAGATTTTCAAGATTTCATAGATATGCGGATATACACTATTTTTAAAGCTTTAAAATTTATAAATAAAGATGAAAATATATTTTAAGGCTATCACAAAAATCTCCAATATTGAAACTACATTTTTTGACACTATTTGAAGGTAGGCTTTAATTTAATTGTTTAGAACCTAGGCTCTATACAAACCGCACCCTTTTATCTATATCCAAAACGACATTCACAAACTGGTAACCTATTGAAAGCCCTCTCTTTCTACCCCTAACTCATACATGTAAGAAAAAGCTAACAATAGCTACGCAACTATAATGAATAGTATTATAGGTGGAATCTCAGCCATCAGATTTTCATCGAGCGGTTCAAAATACAAATCATTATATGAATTTTAACATTTTTCTAGATTCTGATTAAGATAAAATTTTGGGTGTATATACCTAACACTATTGTGCAACATATAAAAATATTTAAATAATTATTTTCAGTTATTTTAAATGACCCAATTACCACCGTCATTTTTAGGGGTATTTCGATCATTTTATATTTAAAAAATATTTTTATATATTTTTAAATTCTGCACCCTATTTTTTAATACACATGCTCTAAATTTCAGACCATTTTGATTTATAAAACAAAAAAACAAAAATTGAAACACTACTGAAAAATTATGACCGTACGATGAACTTTAGACAATGACGAACATAGACGAAATCACTGTTCATTTTTACCTATAACCATTTGAAAGACTTTTCTTGTCTCTCTCTCCTTCTCTCTTTTCAAATCTCCCATGGCCCCCTCTTTTCCCTATTTCCCATTCAAATCTCCCATGGCCCCCTCTTTTACCTATTTCCCATCGTCCGGGCATTGTCTACCCCTTCGTCATTTCTCTTGATGCCCCATTCATAAAGCTCTCTCCTTTTTATATCAAGAGAGAGAGAAAGAGGCGAGTTTCTAACATTATGGGGTTCTGGATTTTTTTTATATAAATTAAAGGAGGAAAGAGAATAAGGAATTAGAAAATTATCGTTAATATATTTTAATTTTAACAAAGTTGAAAAAAAACTCAAAACTTTTCAAGCCCACACTTTTTTTTTCTAATTTTCGGTATGTTTTGGACAAAAATACTTTTTAAGGTAATCTTTCTACCATAATGGCATTGCGACATATACGGTATTAAAACTACAATAATAACGGTATTGACTACCATAACGGCATTGCGACATATTACGGTATTAAAATAATAACGGTATTGACTACCAAAATGGCATTGCGACATATTTCGGTATTAAAACTATTATAATAACTGTACTAAATGTTTAGGAAATTATATATGGTAATATATACGGTAAGATCAAAGACAGTTTTTAGGGCAAATTAAGTACCGTATAATGTTAGCACAAAATTACGTTACTCGTAGTACCCTATTGGCTTCAACAGTAATCGATTAGGCCAAAAAACTCACGAAACAAGGGGAAAAAAGGCCATAATAAACAGTTAGTAATATCACAGATAACAATTTCATATCTGTGACCACAACGAGGGGTACTCGGCTCAAATCAAATATCCAAGCAAACCTGCAAATAATCCTCTCTCAAATGAGAGAGATAGAGAGAGAGAAAATAGACGTGGGTTTGATCCCCCCAGTCTCGTACCGCACAAGAGAGCTCTTCGCTCAATCCATCCAGACACAGGGGAGCAGGAGCATGAATCTGCCTTCGAACTCTGCGCTTTTTGAAAGAACAATAGAACATGAAGACAAAAAAAACACTTAGGGGATAACACGGTAGAACATGAAGAAAAAGAGAAAATCACAGTAACTGTATGAAATATATTCATGAAAATATTGTAGAGTTGAACACAAAAAAGACCACAGTGAAAGAATACCACAGAGAACACTTCAGAGAAAGAAATAACTTTCTTGAATCGCACAAGAACAAGCTCAAGTACCATTTACTCTGCAACAAAATCTTTGACCCAATGAGAGAAGAAAAATAGTACCTAATTTAACAAAATAATCCGGAAAAATCTGAGAATGAAAAAAATGAATGGAAAGAAAATAACCCATGAAATCTAGAGAGATTGAAACTAGAATGCAAGAAAATAAGCAGTGAGAATCATGTGAACAAATAGCAAGGAATGAAAAAAAAAATGCCCATTGAGGCTTTTCAAAGCATCATAGGAGCCCTGATATAATAGTAGCTTCGGTTTGAAGTTTTTCAAAGTACTACCGTAATAAGAATGCCCGTGAACTAGATATTTATGTATTACCATAATTAAAGTACCGTAATAACATTACGGTACTTTAATTACCGTAATGTATTTTCACACTATCACGATAGTTTTATATCGTAATCCTCTCAAAATATATTACAGTACTCTTTCTACTGTAAAAAGGTATTTTCATCCAAAAAATCCCAAAAATTGAAAAAAAAGGAGTGGACCAGGTTTTGGGAAGATTGGGTTTTTTTTTTTCGATTTTTTTAAAATTAAGGTATATTAGAATATGGGTTTTTTTTTTCGATTTTTTTAAAATTAAGGTATATTAGCGATAACTTCTTTAAAAAATACAATTAAAACGGTAATTTAATTGTGAAAATACGAGGAAGATGGTTTAATGTCGTATTATTAAAAGTTCAAGAGGTCAGTAGATTTTCTGTGGACCCGAGGGTGTATTCAGGATGAAAGTCCTTCAAAATGGGTTCCCTTGAAAATTTCTAGGATGGCAAATATTTAAGTTGTTTAACAAGTCATGACGAATTCTGACAAGGTGATTTGGATCCTTTCAACTTAAATAGTTTTTGTAGTTTTTGGGGAGAGAGACAGGAATAGGGACCTGTGCAAGTGTTTTGAGGGCAAAAACGTTGAGCCCATGTAATAGAGGGCATTAAGGAAAATACGAGACATAATTCCTAAATAAGAAGGAACCTTTTCCATTATATTTCAAATTACTGTCTTACGACCTAAGATATACAATCCCATATTTTGCATATCTGCGAAAGATCATTTTTTGATATTTTTAAGGTATTGGTATCCCAAAAACTGATACGTTAGATCAAAAAAGAAATTGAATTTAGCAAAATGTGGGTTTGCATTTGCATTGGCCATGGACTGCCTGTTCTCTTATCTCTCTCTTCCATATAACAAAGCTTTTCTCTTCACTCTCTCTCCTCCAATTTTAGAGAGAGAGAAGCTTCAACCAACTGCCATTTTTATCCTCAGAAGATTTTCCTCTATTTTGTTCTCTGTTTATCATATATTATCTCGTTCATCGATCCCTTTGCTTGATCTCCATCATTTTCTCCAATGAGAATCAAAGAACAATTGGTTGCATCTATTCTCCAAAAAAACCCCAAAACTCCATATTTGAATCACAGATGATTAAATACTGTTAATGCTCACAGATGATTAAAGAAGAAATGGACTGGTAATTTTAAAACATATCAATAATCATTGTTTAAGTTAGGGAAAGAGTATACTATCTATAAGTGTTAGTATAGTATAGGTGTAGTATCCTGTATTTTATATGGTAAATGTTAGTATAGTATAGGTGTTCATGATTTTTTTTACCATTCTTACCATTAATTGGATGTACATACATGAGGTTATATATTCCAAAGATAAATCAATAAATATAGAGCTCTCTACAGAAAACCTGAGAGCTACAGTATGGAATCAAAGCCTGATATCATCTTCACCCTATCCTATTCCTATATGATCGAGTTGCTTGTTGTTGTTCGACCCTATACAGTTCTTGTCTATGAGCAGTTTTTTTATCAATTGAATCAATTTTTAGATTTGTACCATTAGAAACCAATTATGGAGGCTCTTTCGAGCCCTTTTTTGTTCTTTCAGTTGTCTCGACTGTTTTTTTCTCTTTAGAAGCCGTGTCTTATTTCTCCCTTTCCTCGGTCCATTGCCCAAGAACCCCACAAAAAATAAATAAATAAATAAAATTATAAACCAGTGTCCAATCTGATTAGTGCATTAAAAAGAAATTGAAATTGCTTTTTCAGTTGCTTGGTTTTCTGGCTTTTTTGTTTTAGTTCCCATCCTTATTGGTACCATGTTTTTCTATCGGCCGATCGCCTGAAAACTTGATCCTTCCATTGTGTGTCTTTCCAAAGTCGTTGGGCATATGGCTATACTTATTGAGAGCATGATCTACGGCCATCCACTCAAGTTTCACTTCTCTAAAAAGCTTATTGTATCTGTCCAATTACTCCTTGCTACATGGATCTTCTCAGACTGCCGCCTTTTCATGAAGAAGCTATGCCATAAAACCTACATATCTTATGTGTAGGGTTCTTATGAACCCCTATCATGCAGAACCAAAAATCTCAAATACTGGGATCGAACCCAAGATCGTATATATAATTGGCTAAATGCGAAGTATATAAATACAACTATAAATTTAGTGCAAGAAATTAAGCAAACATAAAATCACACCACAACAACACACAATTTATGTAGTTCCCCCCATAAGGTTACATTCACGGCCTCAGCAAATCGAAATCCACTATCACAATGAAGAATATAATTTTGGGTTGCAAGAGATAATATTTTTAAACATCAGTAAAAAACCATCATCAATCTTCCCTTCTAAACCTGCTCTCCTGACATAGCAATAACATCGATCTCTATCTTCTTTCCCACCACAAAACTGCTACCGAAAAGATATCCTCGATTTCTATCTTCTTTACTACCGCAAAACCGCTACCGGAAAGATATCCTCGATAACAGTCGAGAGATTTTCTATTTCTAGAAATAGATGCCTTACCAACCCAAAACCCATGAGAATACTACCTCTATCTCAGATGCCATGTCTCTCTCTTAGAGACCCATCTCTTTCCTGGAGATCAATTCCCATAACCCCCTGTGACCATAAAAAAGAAGGCTATTATATCTTCTTTGTCTCTCTTATATAGATATCATTTTCTTGCTTCTCAAAAAAATATCTTTTTTTTACCATAATACCCTTAATCTTTAGAAAAAAATATCGGTATAGCGATTTTTCTATCACCCCCAAGATGGTGGGGATTATGTGGTGTTATTTTATGGTCGTGACGATTGTGGCCGTCTTTTTTCCTTATAAATTAGGGCCTATTAGTGATAAACCTTAATTAGAAAGGGAAAAATATAAAATTTGAGAAAATACCTGAATAAAGGATTTTAATTCAAATAAGACAGTGATTTAGCTGAAGACTACCTAATCTATGCTTGGATGTCGGAGAAATCAATCAAAATCGAGTTCCAAACTCAATTCACTGAAGTTTGAACTTTCTTTTATGAGATTAAAGAGGTTTTCCATAAAAATAAATCAATCAATTTCTAGAATACAAGCTCACGAACAACATGGACCAATTTCAAGGATATTTACCATTTAAATTGAGATAAATTGATCGCAGAAGCTTAACCACGGTGGAAGTTCAGGGAAATGGGGTTTTAAGGTTCCTAAAAAAATCAAACAGCATAAATTGACCATTTCCCTTCCTTTTTATGGTGATCTACCACATCTTTTTCATGATCTCTGAGAAAATACATGTACTCCGCATATTTGATTGGATGGTTAGTTTTACTTATATTTCAGACCAACTTAAACAGTTTAAGGGATTTTTGAGAACTAATCACGAAAATCTCTGTTTTTCTGTTTTTCATGAATCTAATGAGCAGACATGCTCAACTAGACTTGTGCTACTGACTGAGTTTGGTTTGCTGCAAAACTATTCTTCTAATAAACACATTGAGAGTGGTTAAAGTAAAAAACCAAGTTTAGAACTACTAACCTAGGTAAACAAGACCACCCCAAGTTTTGGCCACAGTTATGTCTATTTAGTACACAAGTTTAGCAAATGCTTACGAAGTGTTAGTGACATGGTTTGGATTTTTTTTAAAACTAGTTTTCCCACCAAAACTCATTGACAACAGGTAAAATTCAAAAACCCTATTTATAGCTTTTAACTGCAATAAACAGGGCAGCCCCAAGTTTTAGCCGCAATTGAATGTGAGAAACCAAAGATCTTTGTGTGTGTGTATGTGTGTTTGTGTGCGTGTGTCGTTAACACAAGATTAATTGGAGATTTCCATGTGTTAGTGATGCAATTTGGACATGTTTTTAAAATTATTTTTCAGCCCAAAATTTTGATAGTGCTTAAAAATCAAAAAAACCTTGTACACTGTTTTTGAACGTTTGTATACAATGCAGCCCTGAGTTTTGGCGGTAGTTAAGATCAACTACTCTTAGTGACTCCTATACCTCTGTTTTACTTAATCTGGAGTCGACATCTGCCCACTTTTCAACTACTCTCACCTCCTTTCACTATTTCGAAAGTTATTTGAAAATTCATGATTTTTTCTATTTGTAAATTCATGACGATAGTTATTTGAAAACTCTATTTTCTTTCGGGTTCATAATGAGTTCATGTCACCTTTCAGGGGAAAGGGCAAGTTGATTTCTCCATTACTTCCTCAAAAGGTTTTTAGTACAACTCTATAAAAAATTTAACGAGTAGTTCACGTGGCACAATTGTATCTTCAAGGTAGACTATCTAGACTACCTTGAAGATACCAAGAGCATCTTGTGCCTTGAACTCCAGTTGAATTGTAATCAAAATAATCTTCGAAAAGCTTGTGCTCGTAAACACTCTTTGTCAGTTTGCTCAAAGAGGAAAGCTCAGGCTCAAGGGAGTTCAACACGGGTGTATGACTAACGTTGGCACTATGTAACTTTCTACTTATTTAGAACTTCTTTCTTTTACATGTTGTCGTTATGACCATAGATGAGAAATTAAATTTTGAGCGCGGCTAAGATGAATCTTAGATTCTGAGGTAGGTAAAGAGCAACTCAGAACTTCAAAAGACCAAGGAGCACAATTCCCGAGGATTAACGATAGTTAAAAGTTCAAATTATAGGTGAGGTCGATGTTTCACAATATCATGTCACTTGTCGTGGT